CACCTATATGGCAGTGCAAATTCATTGCAAACACGTACTATGTCTTCAGTAAATATCTTTGAAATGAAAATCTTCGTTACATAGGAGGACAGAGTGGCCTGGGAGGGAATATGTCATGTCTTCCCTTAAGTTCCTTTTGGGAAAGGAGATCAGTCCCTTATCCTGTGTTCTTCTGAGACCCCCTCTGTTTCCTTTGAACTTTGTTCTTCTAAAGTCCTCTTAGGAATCCAGAAATACCTAGAATATGCTTTTAGGGTGGGGAGAGGGCAGGGTTGTGAGAGCCCAGCTCCCTCTGCCTCTGGTCAGGAAAGCAGTGAGAGTATCTCACACTGTTTAATTTCTTCCAGGAATCAGGCTGGTGCTACTCCCAGCAGGACTTTTCCAAGGATCTTATCCTTGTTGGATTTCCTCTCATCTCATCCTGTTCCCAGCCCTCCCTTATTAGTATTCCTGGGAATGCTTTCTTTTATTTCTTTTTCCAAGATTTATTCATTTATTTGAAAGGCAGAGTTAGAATGAGAGAGAGAGAGAGAGAGAGAGAGAGAGAGATTCCATCTGCTGATTCACTCCCCAAGTGGCTCTAACAGCCCAGTCAATGTTAGGCCAAAGCCGGAAACTAGAAACTGCATCCAGATCTGCCACAGGTGACAGAGCTCCAAATACTTGGCCGTCTTCTGCTGTCTTCCCAGGCACATTAGCAGGGAGCTAGATTGGAAGCAGACGAACCAAGACTTGAACCATTGCTCCAATATGAAAGGTAGACATTGTAAGCAGTAGCTTAATCTCAGCACCACAATGCTGGCTCATCTGGGAATGCTTTCACCACAAATTACTTGCACATGTATTCTCATCTCAAGGAAACCTAATTCAACACCTTCTGCACTATGAGGGGAGAAAAAAAATACTCTCTTAATTGTGGTTTCATCTCTAAACTCTGCTCCTTTTTTATGCATTATATATTTGACAATCAGACAGAGAAATTGAGAGAGGGAGAGACAGACAGTGACAGACACTGATCTCCCATCTGCTGGGTCACACCCTTAGTGTCTGAATAACAGGCTGGGCCGGGCTGAAGAAAGGAGCCAAGAACTCAATCGAAGTCTTTCACGTGGATGTTAGAGACTTGACCATCATGGCTGCCCTCCTGGATGCGCATTAGCAGAGTCAGGAGCAGAGTTGGGACTTGAACCCAGGCATTATGATAGAGTACGGGGACATTGCAAGCAGCATCTTAACTGCTGTGCAAAATGTCCACCTGCTCTAGCCCTTTTACAGATTTTTTAATCTTCTGATTTAATTTTATTTGCTTCTAATTCTCCCTTGTTTCCTTGCTCATACTGTTCTAATCATATTTCCAAAATAAGCACTCCACTGAAACTGCCCCTCTCAATATCACCAGTGATCTCTATCTGGGACCAATTTAATGGCTATCTCTTGCTCTCGTTTTCCAGAACTTCTTAGCAGTATATAGCTCACTCTGACCACTCCTTTCCTAGAAGAACACTCTCTTTTCTTTTTCTTTCTTTTTGACACCAAAATTTCCTAATTTTCTTCTTACCTCTCAGCAAGAAAAAGTGATCCTTTCTGAACTTGAACTTGTTCCTTTTACTCTTTTGGCCTATTAGATGTTGGGGTACATCGTGCCTTAGGTCTTGGTCTCCCCTTTTGTCTGTCTATACCGCCATTCATGCGTATGCTGAAGACTTCACAATTTGTGCCTCTTTCCAGATTTTCCAGTTAAATTTTGACTTGCATGTCTAACTGCCCACTAGTTTTCTCCAATTGTGTATTTAACATGCATTTCAAACTAAAAAGTCCAAGAGGAAATTACTGTTTCTACATGCCAATCACTGCTTAACAACAACAATGGAAAATTCTTTTCTTAACCACTCTTTCAGGTCTTGGTAAATACACCATTTTCCACTATGTTTTCCAAACTAGAAACAAAAATCATCCTCCATTTCTGTTCTCTCCCCGCACATCTGAATGATCAGATAGTCCTATTGACCACATCACTGTTATGAATCTGAACCTCTTCACTTCATCTCCACTGTTACTGCCCAGTTCCAGTCATGTATTTTTATTACCTAGATTTCTAAATTGCTTTGCCAAATAGTCTCTCATTTCCTTAGTGGTTCATCTGCCCTTCTCTCCACCATCCTAAGTCACCTCCGAACACACAATTAGGTCACAGAATTTCCCTGATTAAAATATGATATGGCTTCTTTTTATATTTAGGTTAAAATCTAAAATACTTGCAAAAATTTACAATCTTTGCTTGTCTATCTGATTCTTTCCTATTCCTTTAGATTCAGCCATTCTTAACTATTTCTTCATTTTCACATGACAAGACTGAGAGTCTTATGAGGTCTAATACTGTGAGCCAAATATGTTCAAGAATGACTTTCCCAAGTATGGGAAACAGTCACCTCAGATAAACCCTCCAGTTTGAGGTAATACACAAACTCTACATCTAAGGAGCTTCCATTAACAGTGTGAACAACATAGAACAACTCCATACAACCCAAAATGAACCTTACCTCTTAATTGGATCTTGAAACTCAAGAGGCCAGTTTCCATTGTACAGATTGTTCCAGATTGTGAGCTCTGTGAAGTCAACCTGAGTTTAGACTTCCACCTGTTGTCAAATAAATCTGTTCTAATTTATGGTGATGTTCTGGAGAGTAGGGATGGTGTATCTCTTATTTGAACAACTGGCACAGCATATGGCATCTCCTCAAAAGGTGTTAAACAAATGTTTGCTTTGTGATTATGCTATTAGCTTTGAAATTTAGGTAACTTTGAAAATCTTCTATGCCTAACTCTCTTCATACCTACTTAGTCTGCTTGTGGTGAAGATGGGATGGAAGTGGATATCATAAGCCCCAAACACATGCCTGATACATAGTAGGCATGACAGATACCATCATTTCATTCTTCTTTCCTTCCTGTCTCCTCTTACCACTATTTCCTTTCTACTTATGTTTACTTAACATTGGAAACTCAATGCTAAGCATAGGCCCTACATCCTTGTCTTCTGTCATCATCCTTCTTCACAATTATTACTTTCTTTTCTGCCTTCTCTATCTTAGCTTTTTCCATTATCATGTCCTCCCATTCTTTTCTTGTACTCAATATTTTATTCCATCTATATGTCTCCCCCTTTCTCTATTGCCTTTCTTAAATTTTAAAATGAACTCTTAGTCCCTCTAACCCCCCAACAGAGAAGAGTTAGTGAGACTGTAGTCTTTATTCATATTTAAGTGGCAGTACTCTATCTATGAGAGAAACTCTCTGGACTTGAGATTATCTTTTGCTCCCTACCAAGACAAAAGTGCTTTTCCAGCACATGCAACTGAAGTGCTAAAATATTAATAATGATAATAAAAAAAAAAACAACCCAACAAAGCAAGGGCCATGGCAGTTTGGGTGCAAGAGCAGCAGGTCTTACTGAGCTCTCTTCTGTCAAGCCAACAGGAGGGTGACATTTAGCCTGCCTCCACATAGAGATGCAGATGGCTGCTAAGCCTATTTCAGTGAACATATGAGGAAGGAGGTGGGGGAGACTGAAAGAATAGAGCCACAGTTCCTATCCATGGCATCAAGATGCCAAGATCTAGAGACAATTAAAATTGGAAAACTGGAGGGAAAGTACATGGGAGGACAGTTTGAGCCTTATTAAAATGCATTGAAAACTTTTTCTCTGGGAGAAGGGAAATTATTCTGATTTGTTTTTAAGCTAAAATAGAGATAAATGTTCCTCAAGATTACCCTCTTCTAAATAGGGCCAGTATGAGAATGGCTATGTAAAAATAATCCAGTCAGATTTCCAACAGTATTTTCCTTAAAGAAGGTGCCTATAAATCTGTAATACTGCCAAGCTCCAAAAGAACAGATTGAAATACACAAGATTATAAATTCAAATTTTTCCATTGAAATGTTATTTTAATTTCCTTTCTAGAATACCCAGGGATGAGGGTCATTGTCTTTAGAAGCCATTTTTTTTTCTTTTTTTAAGTGGTGTATTCTAGCTGAGGTATAAATACTTAGGTAAACTTGATCATAAATCGCTTCAGATTCCTCAGTAAAACTTTGAAATGGAGACAGTATCCATATGTGAAGATGACAAAACCATAAACTAAAAATATTTTATTTTTTTCTGGTAATGTAATTCAGGCCAGGCAAAGCCCATCTACTGAGCTCCATTCATATGTTGTAAAATTGTTTTGTATTTATAGAAGTGGGCTTTTTTGTTGTTGGCCCTTACTTCAGCTTTATAAAGTTTATTAGCTTGTCTTTTTAGTATGGTGTTTAAGAGCTTAAGCTCAGGACCTGGATTTCAATTTGAATCCCATCTCATCCATCCTTTAACAGCTGAATGTCTTTGGGCGAATTACTTCACTGCTTTGAGCCTAAATATATTCATCCAGAGGTTGAGTATGTTAATATTTTCCCCTTCAGATTTTTCTTTGTGGAAATTATATGTGATTTATCATGTAAAACATTGAAAAAGTCTTCAAGGTGACAGAATTTTCAGCTGTCATTACTTCACGGAAGCTCTACTATTATTTATTTAATTGAAATTAAACAGAAAGAGGAGTGCGAGAAGAATGGGGGAAGTGGGAGAGAGAAAGAGGGAGAGAGGGAGAGAGAGTGAGGGAGAGTGGGAGATGTCTTCCATCCACTAGCATTCTCAAATTCCTGCCAAGAGCCTGGAACTCATCTGAATCTTCCATGTAGGTAATTTGTCCATCTTGTGCTGTCTCCCAGGTACATCAGAAGGAAGCAAAGTAGCCAGGACTTCAACCAGCACTCTGGTGTGGATTGGGGTTGTCCCAAGCAGCAGCTTAACTCACTGTATCATTACAACACCTTGCAAATACTATTTTCACACCTGTCCACAAACAAGAGCCTAGGAGTTCAGAAAAGAGATCCCTGAGTTCTTTTGGATAAAAATATGAGAATAAATACATTGAAGAGGATAAAAAGAATACTCTTACCTTATTGATGTCACCCTTCTCTCATTGTATCCCAGCTCACAGGCAAGGAAGCTCCCTGTCTGCCTCCAATTTCACTCATTTGGGAAAGCAGGAGATCAGAGAGAGGCTAACTCCCCCTGCCATGTGATCTGCTTCAAAGAGGCCAACTTTCTTTATTTTTTTTCTACCTCACTCAGAGCACTGAGCAGATCATTATGACTTAACAGTGTAGAGGCAACTAAGCATAAGGAAAAAGGGTGGGGTTCACAAAAAGCAGGGCATGGTTTCTACTAACTGCTTTATAATTCCACCAAGGGGTATATCAATGGACCTAGCTGAGTATATCACTTGTGGCTCTACCACCCAACTAAACCATGCATGCCCCAGTAATGCATGCTCCCTCCCACAACATCAAAACTGCCATGTGCAAGCCTCTATAGATCACATATAAACACATATATGTGTGCACACACACACACCCACACATACACACACAGCTAGTTTGATTTTGTTGGATTGGAGGAAGGCACTTAATTGTAACCAGTTCTGGGCATTAAGTCAGGGAAAATAAGTGACTTGCAACCAACATCCATCTGGGTTTTTTAAGATTAAGAGAAGGCATCAATCCTAAAACTTCCCCCTACACTGTGGATTAAAAACAGTGGAGGAAGTTTATCCATAGAAAAGGTCTGAGAGACCCCAGGAATTTCTAGACAAGCTGACTGATAAAGCTCATTCTCTCCCGAGGTCAATCAAAAAAAGAACCATTGTTCTTCAAATGCAAAGATACAAAACTAAAAATTCAAGGAATATGAAAAATAAAGGAATGAAAAATAAAGGAATACATTAATTTTCCAGTAAGTAAGCACAACAAAATTGAGATTTATGAATTTCTTGACATAAAATTAAAAATAATGGTCTTAATGAAACTTGAATAGTTGCAAGAGAATAAAGAGACAAATAATGAAATTAGGATACAACACAAGAACAAAATAAGTTGAACAAAGAGAAATTAGAAAAAGAAGTTCTGGAGCTAAAGAATCTAATGACAGAAATGAAAAGTTAAATAGAGAATTTTGACAGCAGATTCAATTAACCAGAAAAATGAATGTGAGAATTGAAAAAACAGTCATTTCGAATCATACAATTAGAGGAGAAAAAAGAAAGGAGAATTAAAAAAATAATGAAATGCGCTAGAGTTAATGAGATACCATCAGGAAACCATTGTGTGCTTTACAGGAGTCTAAGAAAGAGGTCAGAGAAAGAGGGAGAGGGAGAGGGGTGAGGAGGAAGGGGAGATAGAAAGATAGAGAAGGAGAAAGAGAGAGGGAGAGAAAGTTTATTTAAAGAAACAATTGCTTATAATATAAGAGTGGGAATAGAGAGGGAAGAGATGTGCAATTCGGGACATGCTCAAGCTGACTTACCTCAAATGGTAGAGTTAGAAACATACCAGGGGATTCCAATTCAATCCCATCAAGGTGGCATGTACCAATGCCATCTCACTAGTCCCGCTGATCAATTTCTGTTCACAATTGATCATAATGATAGGACTAAGAACCAAAGGGATCACATAAACAAGAATAGTGTCTGCAAATACTAGCTGATAGAATAAAAAAGGGAGAGAATGATCCAACATGGGAAGTGAGATACACAGCAGACCAAAGAATGGCAGATGTCCTAAACAGCACTCTGGCCTCAGAATCAGCCCTTAAGGCATGCGGATCCGGCTGAAAAGCCCATGAGAGTATTTTAGGCATGGAAAGCCAAGACACTCTGGGGGAAAAAAAAAAAAAAAACTAAATGAAAGATCTCCGTGAGTGAGATCCCAGTGGAAAGAATGGGTCATCAAAGAAGGAGGTACCTTTCTCCGAAGGGAGGAGAGAACTTCCACTTTGACCATGGCCTTGTCTGAATATGATCAGAGTGGGTGAACCCAGGGGGCTTCCATAGCCTTGGCAGCTCATGACAAGAGCCTAGGGTGATTACTGAGGCCATAAACAAGAGTGTCAATTTGTTAAGTCAACAACAGGAGTCACTGTGCACTTACTCCTCATGTAGGATCTCTGTCCTTAGTGTGCTGTACATTGAGATTTAATGCTATAACTAGTACTCAAACAGTATTTTTCACTTATGTTTCTGTGTGGGAGCAAACTGTTGAAATCTTTACTTAATGTATGCTAAACTGATCTTCTGTATATAAAGAGAATCGAAAATGAATCTTGATGTGACTGGAAGGGGAGAGGGAGTGGGAAAGGGGAGGGTTGCGGTTGGGAGGGACATTATGGGGGGGAAGCCGTTGTAATCCATAAGCTGTACTTTGGAAAAAAAAAGAAACAATTGCTGAATACTTCCTACATCTTGAGAGGAATGAACATCTTGAATATCTCCATATAATATATATTATCATATTAATACAATGGACAAAAACATATGATCATCTCAATAAATACAGAAAGAACACATGAAAAAATTCAACAACCTTTCATGATAAAATATTTCAACAAATTAGAGATGTTATGTACCTCAACACAATAAAGGCCATATATTATAAGGCCATAGTGAGCATCATACTAGATGATGAAAATTTTAAAGCTCTCCCTCTAAGATTAGAAAAAAGAAAAGGATGATCACCCTTACCACTTTTATTTACCATAGACCTGGAAGTCCTAGCCAGAGCAACTAGGCAATAAAAAAAAAGTACTCAAATTGCAAATAAGTGAAATAGTCTCTCTTTTCTGTTGATGTGACTTATACGATATATAGAAAACACTGATTATTCCACTGAAGCACAGTTAGAACAAATTAACAAATATAGTCATGGCAATATACAGAAGTCAACAAACAAAAATCAGTTGTATTTCCACATAGTAACAAGAAACTCTCTGAAAAAAGAAATTAAGAAAAATAATTCATTTACAATTACATCTAGTATAGTAAAATGATTAGGCATACATTTATCAAGGACGGTGAATGATCAGTATAGCAAAGATTATAAGATTTTGATGAAAAAAGTCAAAATAGACATAAATAAATGGAAAGCTACCCCACGTTCATGGATTGGGGAAATATTGATATTGTTACCATGGTCATAGTGCACAAATAAATTTTCAGATTCAATGAAAACCCTAAAAAAATTTTGTTAATATTTTCACAAAAATTGAAAAACAATAAAAAATTTCATGTGAAACACAAAAGATACCTAGTAGCCAAAATAATCTTGAGCAAGAATTACAAAGCTGGAGACAACATGCTTCCTGATATCAATTTACATTACAAATATACATTACTCAAAACAGTATACTACTAGCACAGAAACAGACACAGAAACCAATTATACCCAGAAAGAGCCCATAAATAAATCTACATATCTATGATCAACTTGTCTTCAACAAGAATGCCAAGAATATACAATGGGGAAAGGACTATAATAAATAGTACTGTGAAAGCCCAATAGCCACCTGCAGAGGGTGAAATTGACCTTTACCTTACATTACACACAGACATTAATTCAAAATGGATTAATGACTTAAACTAAGACATGAAAATAAAAGACATCTAAAAGAAAAGATAGGATAAAACTTCTTGAAATTGGTCTGGGAAATTCAAAAAAAATATTTATTTATTTGTTTATTTAATAACAGACAGAGTGACAGAGAAAGAGAGGGAGAGACAGAGAAAGCAGAGAAATCGTCCATCTGCTGGTTTCCCCAAATGGTCACAACAGATGAGACTGGAATAGGCTAAAGCTAGGAATCCAGAGCTCTATTCAGGACTCCCATATAGGTGGTAAGATCCCAGGTACTTGGGCCATTTTCTGCTGCTTTCCCAGGCCTATTAACAGGGAGTTGGATCAGAAGTAGAGCAGCGAAGACTTTAACTGGTGCTTCAAAAACCGATACTGATATTGCCAGGAGTATTTGAATGCACTGTGCCACAATGTCCCAAGGGCAAGGTTTTGTTGTTGTTGTTTAAGACTCTAAAAGCATAGGCAATGAAATCAAGTATATAAATAGAATTGTATTAAATAAAGCATTTGCATAACCAAGAAAGCAATGAAGAGAGTCAAGAGACAACTTACCAAGTGGGAGGAAATATTTGCAAATCATAAATCTCATAAGGGATTAGTATTTAAAGTAGATTAAGAACTCAAGTAATAGGAAATTCCAAATAACTCAATTTTAAAAGAGATCAAAGGATCTGAGCAGACATTTTTCTGCTTTGGAGTCAGCTGATCTATGTTTAAATAACAACAATGGAGCTAATATTAACTGAGTTCTTACTGTATAGTATACCTGTGCTAAGCAATGTCATGCACTAGGGTTCCGCAGGATCATTATTCCCATTTTACACGTGAGTGAACTGTGAAGTTACTCAGCTTGCTGCAAATCCCATAACCTGCAGTGAAGTAAACAGCAGACACGGGATTTAGTCCCAGGCAATGTGGCTGCAGGATCTTTGCTCTCAGTTCTGAACAATATTATCTGTGACTAAGTTCACTTCAGCCATGCTTGAACATGACACTTCTTTACTGTGAACCTCAGCTTATTTATTGGGAAAATGAGGAAATCGTTTAGATGAACCACAAAGTCTTTTTTGAGAGTCAATCCAATAAACCAAATCAAGGCTGTCATCATAAAAACCACAGAAGGGCATGTCCTGCAGGTCAGATCCAAGCTCATTGCTGAGTTATGCAGTGGGGCTGCTGAGTGAGGAAGAAGAACTGCACGTCTTTTCCTCTTCCCGTGAGCTATAGACCCAGAGTGGAGATATATTGGATTCCAGAGAAATGTGTGACCTATACAGTGGGATTTTTCTGTTCTCTAAGGCAATTCTTCCTCATCCCCTTGTAATTTTCTTCCCAAATTTGAGCTTTCTCCCCCTGAAGTCAGAGTTAAAATATATATGGCAAAGGGATGGGTTATTATGTTGTGGTAGCAGTCACCAGGCGTGACCCTATTTCAGATTTAGCACAAATGAAATCTCTTGAGTCACTTTGATCTCCTTATCTCTGTCAGCGTTATAATCTTGAAAAATTTCAGTCTAAAACTTATTAGCTCTATGAAAAAATAGACTATTCTCTGTTGTTCTTATTTCATTCTCTCAGAGAAATTCAGTCAACACTTGTTCAAAACAGTGCAAGGGAAGCCCAGCCCTGATACG